GGCACTCGGGACAGAGATCAGGGAAAACCATTTCCCGCCGCAGGAGCCCGCTCCACTCCCCAGAACCCAGCCAGCCCCACCCTGGGCTCCATCTGCCCCGGTGCGGGACCGCGGCCCCAAACACGTGAACGGAGCAGGAACCCCACTAAAAATCTCCGTCTTGCACCACCAGGCACGGTCTGTCAGCCCCCCGCACACCGCCCAGGAGTACCGCGACTCGCCCAGTTTGAGCTGTGAGCGGGTACAAAACCAGGAAAGGATCTGCCGTAGCCAAGCTTTGATGAACAAACGCCAGGTCTGGAATCCCACCGCGGCAGCAGCACAGCCCCAGGGGGTCTTTTCAGGAAGAGGCCACCGAGCCCAGGACCTGCAGGTCCCCCCTGCCAACCACGGCTCTTACCACAATGTCCGAGGCCTGGGCCCCACGACAGGTGAAGTTTTAAATAAGTGACACACAAAACGCACAGAATGTAACTTTATTGGGTAAAACGGAAAGCAACCTCAGTTGTACACTTCAGTGAAATGAAAAATAAATAACTGAGTTTTAGAGCCAAATGATTAAGTTGCTACTGTTTTGTGTGGCCATTTTTATCAAAGAGGGGCTGCTCCTTACAGCAGAGGAACTCCTGTTGCTGGGAAAACCCCCCACCGAGAGGAGAGGGGCGCCTTCTGGGGCTTTCTCATTTCACCGGGGCGATCCCGGGGCGACGGCTGTCATGATCCAGCTCAGCCCTTAAGGGAGGACATCCCAGCTCGCATAATTTCATCCACAAGGAGAATGTTGCTGGCGATCACCGTGCTGAAAATATTAAATAAATACTGTTAGAATGGCCTTTCTGACATTCACCCACAGCCAGAGGGAAAACCCTGTAACAGTTACCATGAATGAAGCAGTTGCTTTTTGACATTATAGTTATCCCAGATTCCAGCTGCTGCAGCTACCATTGGCTCACCTACAGAGGAAGTAAAATAGTCTTTAAATAACCAGTTTCTCATAACCAAAGTAACCCTTTCTGCCGTCTAACATCTGATAATACTTTATTCTCCATGGAGCTGAGCCACAACAGATCCTTGCTAGAGCACCGTTCCCGTTTCACCCAGTTCTTACCCGTGTTCAGATCAACTCCAGTGAGCTGCCCCGATTCTGCATGTTCTGTCTGAACCTTCACGAGTGTTTCCTGGGGATCGTACCCAGAGTTCTGAGCGAGAACCTTTGAGAGAGGAGGAGGTGTTATTTCACGTTTTTCGTTAAAAGAGATCTACAGCAGGAAGAGTGACGGGTCTTGCTGTGCTTTAAAGTCACTTTATTCAAGAGTTCTTCCTACCTTAGGGATGATGAGCAGGGCATCAGCAAAAGCCTGAACTCCAAGCTGGGCTCTTCCTTTCACGTTAGGTTTATGCTTCACCAGAGCATTAGCTACTGCCACTTCCAGCGCGCCTGCTCCCGGAACCACGCACCCTGCGAGGGACAGCTCCACACTGACACTTCACAGTAAGCTCCCTTTCCCATTTCGACAGTTAACTGAAATACGCTTCACGAAAAACCGCCCATAGAACTGACAGAAAATTACTAATTTTGAGATGAATTTCAGCAGAAGACCTTAACACCCCTAAACAGGGCGGAGACTTACCATCCTCAATCGCGTTTTTAACAGCACGCAGACCATCTCTCACTGCGTCCTTGATTTGTGTCAGCGTGTGTTTATTCGGTCCCCTGATCAACAGGGTGACAGAGCGGGGGTTGTCACACTTCTCAATAAAGGTGTATTTCTCTTCACCCTGCAAGGAACAAGGTTGTGTATTCATGTCAGACATGCAAAAAAAACATCAGACAGTTTCAGATGCCATCTTGCACTAACAGCGCTTTAAAGTGGCGAGAAGCAGCAGACCCTTATTGCTGTTTTCTGTTTTACACATATTAGAAGCACAGTATGAAAATAACAGGAAAACACACTGCAACAAGAGCAAATATCCAGGTCCGTGCTCACACGCAAGTGGACGCTGGGATGTGAAGTGCCACCAGCCTTTACTCCTGCTCCAGTCTAGCTCTTAAAACACTTCAGAAAAAGCCACGCACAGACACCGCAAGGCAAAAGCAAAGCTGGGATCAGTCGGAAGCCCCACCACACCCACCAGTGTGTACTCGTAGACGAGTCCCGCGTGTCCCAGGCAGTCCGGAGTGAGATCCTCCACTGAGTTCATGGCAGCTCCGCCACACGCCAGGGTCAGCCTGAGCGAGAACACGCACAGGTTAGCACCTGCTTTACAGGAAGTAAAACCTGAAGTCACTACACCACGAGAGTAGCTCAGCACGCAGAACGCCGCAGTTCCCAGGCTTGGAACAGCTGGCTTCTGTTCAGCAGAGCTCTGCACAAAATTAAGCTTGTAGAGAAATGTCTCCTCTCCAGGTGTCTATATCTGAAGCACATCAATAGCTCCAACCACCGCATCCTCCCCGTGTGCGGAACGGACACTTCTATGGTTCGACCAAACTACCCTGAGCTACACCACCAAAAGCTGGACAGCCTGAAGTGCACTTTTGGTGCAAGTTCTTCAAGAGGTGGACTCAAGCCAGACTCGACTCACTGTTTGGGTTTGGAAGAGCCGGTGATTTTACCCTCTCCTCTCCCCAGGAACTGACCTTTCCATGTTCCTCCTTTTAGCTCTCCGCAAGGCAACTATTCCTTCTTTCGCAAGCGCATCCAAGGAAAAGGGGTCAATTCCCTAGAAACAAAGAAAGTGACCACCAGGATCGAGAAAAAGCTAAGAACACCCTCTCATTAGGCTGACACTAATGAGCAATTCTTCCTCAAGGTTCAGACCAGGAACTGCATGCATATATTCAGAAGTACATCAGCGTAAAGGTAGCAAAGTGAACCAGTCAGCACATGGCTTGCCAGGACAGCCAGCACCTCCGGTTAATTTTGTAGAGTTACACCCTCCATCTCACCTTCTGGTTGATCACAACAAATCCTTTATCTGAATCGCCACAGACTCTTCTTTTCAAGTCTATGATTTTGTTCACTCTGTCTTCAATGAATTTTCTTTCTGCTTTCACTAGCTTCTCCCTCTCTTCGGCACTTTTGTAGAAGAACCCAGAGCTCACCTCCCTGAAGGAGGAAAAAAAAAATAATCAAGAAAAGCAGTAACACAACTATGCTCTCTGCTCATCAACCTTCTCAGCTACATACTAATAAAAATCAAACCAAACCAAGATTCTCCCCCAAAACCAGCATGTAACACATTATCTTCTCCTGCTCTCTACTTCAGGTCTTCCATTTGACACTGAGCAAACTCTGAAGTCTATTTAGATGTCCACTCCAGAATATAAAATCATGCCCCAGAAAGGACGGACTTCCAGGATCTCCTCAAGGAAACAACAAAATGCAGGCCACTACGAAGCTCTGCCCCTCAAAGACATTTTCCCAGCCACCAGCTTCGCTCTCCCAAAAGAGGACTGTAGGAACATCACCTCTTCCACTCCACCTTCTGCACTACCTGCCTCACTCTACTTGTAGAGTCTACACAGTCCTTTTGGTTCTTACTCAGGGACACCTTCCATAAAAGTCTTTCAAGACAGGAGCATTTCCTGCTCTTCACCTTGCTGCCGTGTACTCACGTTTTCTCATATTCTAGCGATACGTTGCAGGTAAGAACATAAGCATCTTCCACTCTTTTCTTCATGTCAGGATGACGAGCACCATGATCCAAAACCAGCCCCCTAATCAGCCTGAAAGATTAAGAAGCATTTTGTGTGTCAACGTGCACATACACAAGACAGGCATTTCGTCCAGGTGTCAGAGAACTGGCAGCGCAGCAGGTCCAACATGAATTGCCTGGGCGCTTGTGTTGGGCGTAAATGGTGAATATGTGTCCCCATTCCAAAGGCGTGCCCGTTCTTGGACAAAAAGCACACCCATCGGTATGAAAAAGGAATTTATTCTGGCATAGTGTCTGACTGCATTAGCTACTGAGAAAAGCTAGTGCAGAATTCATCCATGCCACTGGGTAAATACAAAGCCTAGGGAGTAGCCAACTAGATGGCTACAACTCCATTTCCACTTATCGACTACTATTTTGTACTTGTATTGAACAGAGAGAAGCCTAAAGCACAGCTGAGCCACTGCTGCTATGTTCTGGCTTGAGCCTAACCCCGACACATTATTACTCAAAACTCTGCTGATACTCAAACATCAGGGCATTAAACTGCAGCTCCAGGATCCTTGTTACTTACGCCGTGTCGGTTTCTGATTTGTGCTTCATCTCCATGATCTCCACCATGTGCAGGTCAATAGGCTCACCTGGTTTTCTGACGGTCAGAACAGAATCTACTACAGCCTGGAACAGAGCGGAGGGGAAACAAGTTCCCAAATGACAATTAGGCTTTCAAACTGCAACTTCCCATCTTTCCAAGGAATTACCACAGCACTTTAAAATCAAGACCTCTTCACCCAAAACAAGGCAGAAGAGACACGTACACTCACCTCTGTTAGGACGTCAGCGAGCTCAGTATGAACTTTAGTACGGAGAGACGTTCTGGCGACATCCATAAGGGTCTCCCTGTCCATTTCCTTGGTTACCTTGACCTGCTCCAGCACTTCAAGTGCTTTTTCCTTCGCAATCTCAAATCCTTCTGCTACTATCCTAGGGTGCAAACCCTAAGGCAAGGCAAGAGAAGAAATCATTAGACGACAGAAGACAAAAAACAGTACTTTTCCCACAATCTATGGTTTCAACATTCCATGAAACGTCAAAACAGGGAATACGCATCCTACACACACAGGAAAATGTACTGCTCTTCTGAATACATGTAAAAGGAATATAAATCCTTCCAATGCAGAGGAAAAGTACAGATTATTCTCGCACAGAATTGAAACCAAGGGAACTACAAAGCACACTTGGGTGTTCTCTGTGCAACATGAATGCCTGTTCTGCAGCTTATAATGTCCAAATACCTACTATCACGGAGGATCCCTTTGCTAATATACAAGAAGCATTTTAACTCACACAAATAGAAGTTAACTACAAGTATCTGACAAAACCTTGTTAAAAGCTACAGTATCCACAAAAAGTGGTTTTGATTTTGAACAAGTCTTAAGTCCTCTTCTCCAGCTTCTCCCAATTTTACAAGGATGGGCTGTGCTCCTTTCAGGAAGAAATACATATTGATGTTCATGTTTGACTTATGAATATTAAGCATTAAACAAAACAAGCTGAATTGTCTCGGATGAAGGATTTAACTTCTCCACCTACAAAAGAAACTGCCTATGTTACCTCAGAAATGTAGAGATCCGCCTGCTTTAGGAGCTCCCCAATGATCAAGACGTTTGAAGTGGTACCATCTCCAGTGATGTCATCTTGTGCTGTTGCTACTTTTGCTATCAAGGAGGCTGTGGGGTGTTGTATTTGCTAAACAAATATATGAAGGCGAGAGCAGTAAGTCTTACTTACTTTCAAAAGCAATCTGAAACCAGCCAAACAAAATATTTAAGGAGTAGTTTCATGATTTATGTCAATTCAACAGGTTTCAACAAGTAACACTTTTGATGATAAATTGCCTGAATTAATCCAGTAATGCTAATTTCCCTCCTCAGATCACGCATCTATACACAGAGAGGCGGAATGCCAGGAGCTAAACCATTTCTTAACTCACAATGAGTCTGACAGAGCCCTTTTCTCCTTCAGGCAAAGGATGCACCATCATAACCAGCCTGTGCTGGTACCAAAACCAGGATGTTTAGAGCTAATTTGGGAATTCCTGCACAGTCAGTGCTGTACATACCCTAACTGTTCTTCTAGTCCCTCAGCAGTTTATTTTACTCATTCTTACGCAACTAAAGAACATTCAAGTAGTTTGTTTCTTGCCAGCTCCTCTGCCAAGCAGCACACTTAGTGCTGCAGCTACGAGCATCGCACCTGTGGGGCCAAACTTCACACCACCATGCATGATATGACTTACAGAAGTCAGTCCCTTAACATGAAAAACACACATCACCGAGCATCTCCTACAGCTCACTGAACGGTATTCTGACACCGGCTGAACCCAAGAACCTACAGAATAACATCCGCATTTGAGAAGGCTGGTTCTTGGCAGTGATGCTAGAGCGAGGTAAAATCCAGTGGGACCGTTTATACTGTCTTTTAGCTTTTTATCATTATTTTCCTTAAAGCACTACCTCTAGTGTGGAAGAACTGATTTAATGATTTTTTTTTTCTTCCTGTCCACCAGGTCACCATGTATATTAACAATACTTTATTCTGAATTACAACACAGGCCATGTTTGGCTGAGGGATGGTGGCACCCAGGGCCCAGCACTGTGGGGCAAGTAGTGGGACAGCACCACCCCTGTGTAATCGTCACCCCCTATGGTGGGGAAACTGTGATACAACTCCAGACTTGTCAGGAAAGCAACAGGAGCTGCATCCATCACTCAGATTTAAACACTTTTCATGTAATGCGCCCCAGCGAACTCTTCTGTCTTAGACCTGCTCAAGTGCAGTATTAATACACTTCTTATAAGCAAAACAGAAGTGGACAAAGGTGCTCATATCATTATTTCAATGGGCCACAGTTTATTTAAACTTCATCCAACACCTGCCACACTGCACTTACTTCTACACTCTCCTCCCAAGGGGCTACCTGCCCTCACTGCACAGGGCTAAATGCCACAGAAATGGAGGCTGGGGGCAGGGAGGGAACCTGCCACACTGCACTTACTTCTACACTCTCCTCCCAAGGGGCTACCTGCCCTCACTGCACAGGGCTAAATGCCACAGAAATGGAGGCTGGGGGCAGGGAGGGAA